CCAAGCACCGCAGCGGATCTGGATGTTTGCACCATTTTGCTGTATTTTGAAACTGGAAATTTTGTTGCACACTGGAGTGTCCCGTGCTAATGGGCGTTTGGCTGGTCCATGGCTGTGCATACCACAAATTCATGGATGTGAAATTTGAATCCTTGCACAGCTTTGTGACGCAGTGCCTGAAGTTGCGGACCACCTCACAGGACTTGGAACAGTAAAACAGGTGCTTGAGATACTTCAAAAGGCTTTGAAATGGGGCTGATCCTCGAATATGTGGCCAGTGGTGTATGGCCATTGGCTTCCCTGGCCCGGGATTGGCCGCAACTTCAACGCGATTTTCTCGTGCTGAATACCACCTCAACGTGCATTGGGACTATTTGTATCTCGCAACGTCCATTTTAAAATGCAAATGGCACATTTACACGGTGCCAGGAAGTCTCGTTATGTTTGGCTGCTGACAGCTGTGTGATTCACACTTCTGTACCAATCTTGCACACGATCATCTGTGCTTGCAGTGCTACATGTCTGCAACGGAAGCATCTGTGCTTGTAGTGCTACATGTCTGCAATTGGAATTTTTCCAATGGTTCGATCGCTGGTATTTCCTGCGCATTATGCCAAATTCTGTGTGGCTACATTGATACTGCAGGTGTAGGTGGGTCACAACTGCAAGCTGCTGTGAATGCACTCTGGAAATGTGCATACACTTGTACAGTGTCCGAATAAGTGCATGGTGTTTGTGCCAGATGTTGTCCATGCTTGGGCCCCTTTCAACGTGATTTGCGCCCCAACGAAGCCTATCTGAAGGGGCACCCATTGTCTGACTGATATTGTGATTTGCATCTTCAGGTTCTGCTGGTCGGAATAGAGACGCACGTGTGTGTTCTGCAGACTGCCATCGACCTGATGGGTGAGTTGAAAATGCGCCCCTTCTTAGGAGGTGTGCCCTTGGGAAGAAATTACTGGCACTTCGGAGCTGAGGCTACTTGATTACATTTGTGAAAAGGACATGGATAGCCATGGCCCTTGCATCTTGAAGGTGATTTCAGGTTTAACCCATGCGTGTTGCTTGTTTATACTTCCTCTGTCTCAAATTAAATGAAACAATTTGTTTGTACCACAGCATTCATTCAATACCTTTGGGGCAATGATTGGCAGGCTGGTTGGTATTAGCGATTTCGGATTGAGCTATTTTTGTTGTGACGCTCTATTAGACTAGACAGCAGGTGTGGACACAACATTTTCGGTTGCGTGCACACGCAGTTCAAGATGCGAAAGATTTGCAGATTTGCTTTGATGGGACCACGATTTGACTTGGGGAAGACACTATTGTGAAATTTGTATGTTTAGCGTCAATGCGACGTTAAGCGCCCCCTCCAACCCCCCTCCTCCTTAGCGTCCATCCTTATTCCGATACCAGGATGGCTCAACAGCATTGCCTAACAATGTCATACGACTTCGCAATAAGGTTTGAAGAATAAAACAGCCAAAATTGTGGCGATTGCGGTGATTTGGAAAATGGGATGCCCAAAACGATGATAGGCGATGGGAGCAGCCTCCAAGCCTGAAAAGTGATCCATTCTAGGGACTTCCTTGAAGTTTGAAAGTTTGAGGAAGGTTTTGCAACAAGTCATGAGCTATCTGCTGCTGATCAGTGGCGTTTTAGTGCATCTTCCCGCCTTATTTTGATTTTGGTGCAATTACATAATCTCTTAAGCATGGACGGCTTCCCCCCCCCCCCTTTAAGCCCAATTTGACGCTGAGCGTAGAGAATTTAAAACAATGCCTTCCCTTCACCGATTGATGATTGCTTGGTGGCGGATGTGGTGTGCTGTGTACTTTCTGACATCATTTCACATATCCAAGTGTTGTCCCAATGTTTGACGCATGAATGCCGTTTGGGTTGTGCATTTGTTCACTCTGACGATTCACCTGCTTTTGGTGCATAAATGCAGAATCGGGATATGAGGTCCACATTGTTGTGGACGGTGTCTCATCCCAGAGGGTATCAGACAGATCTGTCGCTCTGCAGGTGACAGCCTTGCCCCTTGATGTTGCAGCCGTTTCTTTCAAGGTCGCTGTGGCCTTGTTTCGCTGCTGCCTTCCAGTAACCTGTGGTCCCATTCTCCTCCATTCCGTCGTTTTCAGTGCGATGTGATTGCCGAGCGAGTCGTGTGCATGGAATGATGCCTTTCATCTTCTTCAAGGGGCTAGGTCAATTCTCTGAATGTGTTTTCCTAATGCATGTTATCCCAACGGTTTTCCCTTTGTTCCCGTCCATCCAAGTGTGCAGGCCAAGGAGTCAGCATTCCCCCCGCCTCACTGGAGTGGACTTGACTGCAGCGATTCCCAGTGAACGCCCCGCTGTCCAGTTAGGGTAGCTGTTGTGCGCCTTGCTTGTGACTTCCAGTGGCCATTGATTCGGTGTTCCCACTCATCTTTGCAGCGACTGTCCCAGTCTGGCGCTCTCTTCACCACATCTGAGAGTGCGATGTTTCAGCTGGTGGGCGACGCTAAGGTAGGCTGGGTCGACCGCGGGCGCTGGAACTGGCAGACATGCCACACCAACAGAGAAGACGCGCATGTCATTGTGCTGCTGTTGACAGCTCACTGCAGGCGCTGTCATGGCGACTGGCTGCTCACTATTGTCCTGCACCGTCACAGCGTGTGCTTTCGTGTGCGATTTCAGCCTGGTTTTCCGATTTCGCATTACAGCACACCAAGATCTGCGTTTTGATCCCCAGTGTTGTTTCGGTCAATGTTAATGCTGGACGTGGAGTGGGATTCTCGTGTGGTAAACTTGGTGCCAGATCGCAGGGGCCGTTGCAGCCATTCAGTTCCAATTTTTGGTCTTTTCGTTTTGTCAGCACCCCGATTTCAAGGCCATCAGCGCCCTCGTGAAAGAAGAAAGGCCCGAGCCCCTGCAGTCGATGCTCTGAAGTGAGAGGCGCTAAGCGCAGAGGAGAAGGCACGCACGGTGACGGACGGCTCTGTGCAGTGTGTGGTGCATTTTGTCATTATTTTCTGGAGAACGCCGCATCTTTGCCTCGAAAGCGCACGGGAGAGGCTGGAAGGCTGCAGCCAAACAGGACAAGCTGCAAGTCTGTCAACATTCTGCCAGGTGTTCTCCTCGGTACACTTCAGGTCATGCTGTTCAGCTGCATTGTGTGCCCCACAGAAGCATGTGGTTTCCAAGGAGTGTTCTGGGCATGCATCTAACACGTACTGAATGTACAGTGAAAGAACATTCATTCTGTCCCTGATGCTGATCATATCAGCAGCGGTGGAGAATTGCTGACCCTGGATTAACCAAATGTGCCATTAGAAGGTCCGTTAGTGCTTGGAAGAATGAAAACTTCGCATCAGTGTTATTGAATGCACTGTCAACGTCAGAGCAACAATATGGCGGGCAGGACAACAGAGCAACGACTTCCTTGGCGTCCACACAGGTGCCTTCGCTCTCAGCAGCTGAACCAACAATGCTGCTATCGTGCACTTTTGCATACACACTACTTTCTGCACACCATTGTTGGCATGCTGGGAACAAAAGTGCGGGCTCAGTGTGTCAGATTTACAGGTGCATTGAAAGGAGCAATGCACATGGAACTGGCTCCATTCCACGCCCAGGTCTTTTACCCAACGTACTTGGATTTATGCGCCTCATACTTTCGCTGGTATTCTGGCACGCATCCCTAACCGACACCGTCCGAAGGTCACCATGGCAAAGTCGCATTGGCCATTGAAGCCGATCTCCTGGCATGTTCCTGTCAAGATGTTGTCCAATCAAATTGTTTGAACGCCTATGCACTCGACATAAACTTCTCACCATCACGGATGCCCTGTGCGTCGTACCAATCGCTTCAAGTGACGCATCGTTCATCTGGGCAACCTTAACCACACCTCGCCTCCCTTATTGTAGGGCTGCGACAACAAACACCATATTTTTGGTGCTCCATTCACTCTGATCAACAACCAAAAAGTAGAAGGACAAAATAGTCTCCGTCTCTCCAGCAAGGTTTGCGGTGGCACCCGATCGCTCACAAGCGACGACGTTCTTTGGAACAAACAAGAGGAAGAAGCAAGCAGGCGCTCTCTTCGCACAATTGCCTTCTCAAAGGCACGTCGGGGGACGGCGCCGCCCGCAAGGTGTAACCACCCATGACCTTCACACCCATAATCCGGCGAAACACCCATGCCCTCCACCCCAGCAAATGTTCGGGCACAGCGGCGAGGGCAGAGCTGCCCGCAAGCGCCTCCCTACACGTTGTGCCTCTTGAAGTCTCCCGTCGTGTGGGCGGTCACCGCCACCAGCGACGCCAGCGTGTTGAAGTCCAGCAGCTTGGTCAGCATCCGGAACGCCACCGCCGTGGGCCCCAGGTCCTGCCACACCGTCCGGCCGACCGCGCTGAACACCTTGTCGGGGATCGCGTCCGCGGGGCAGGCGAAGCGCTTGAAGAACTCCAGGGCGTCGATGCGCTTCTGGTTGGCGTAGAAGTTGGTGGCCACGGGTGAGGGGTGGAAGACCAGGAGGTCGATGCCGCGCGACTTGACCTCCCCGGCGAGGGACGCGCCGAAGGAGGAGACGAACGCCTTGGTGGAGGCGTACAAGACGCTGAACGGGCCGGGCAAGACTGCTGCAGGGGATGACGTCAGCACGACGCATCCGGGAAGCTTCTTCGTCACCTGAGCCAGGGCGGGAGTCTTTCTTTGGTTGCGAAAACTGTCGAAAATGTGTCGAAAATGTGTCGAAAATCCGAGTGCTGGCCGTTGGCAGACTGAAATTGCGGATTCTCCATGGAATGCTGCCATGGAATCTGGGCAGCAATAATGCGAAAGCAATGGTAGCAACTGAATGTTTGATTTGCACTGCTTATCTCGTGCAAGCAGACAGCTGGTGGCTATCTTCTTGCCTTGATGTGCAACCATTCTCGACTAGTGCTGATTCGTCGACAACAGAATTTGATGCACGCACAAACTGCTAAACAAAACAACGGGGGAAGCAAAGAATCCATCGTCCTTCTCCGTCATCCATGAGGACACCGACCGCACCATTTTGGACACAAAATGATGTGTTATGCGGACGACGCTTCCAGAGTTGCATTCAAAGTTGGCAACGTGCTTGTCCAGTTCCCTGCGACAGCCAGCAGACACAGCATCAGCACCTCGCCAGCACCCCACTCCAGCGTGTCGAGTGCGCGTTTCATGTCTGGAAGGAAAGCAACTCACAGCAAAGCACAGCGGCTCTGCGCTGCCTGTCAACTTGTCAAGCGACGTGTACAATCTTGTACAGTATTCACTGCAGACGAAAGGATCGGCTGCAGGGGCTGTCAATTGACAGGTGGGACAACCTACAGGGTGTGCATTCCAATGCTGACAGCAACAGGTACAAAATGTTTCCTGACGAATAGACCACAAACAGCCAGTCACAAAATAGCCCTGCGCACATCATGGATGCATGGCGACTGGAATTGGTGGTCCTGTATGCATTCCAAGTGCACACAGGACATATCGGGCCGGGAAAGGTGCAAAAAACAGAAAGGAGGGGGAAAGCAGGGAGACAGGAGTGCTGCACCTGTTAACCATCGGGTTGCCCAGTCACTGAAAGACCCTTAGTTTGTCTGCTGCTGTTGGACTTACATTTTGTGGAAGAAGCCGGTCACCAAATACCCAGCATTGCAGAACAGGAGCTGAATGTCGATATCCTTTGTTGCCTCATCAATTGTCTTCATGTAACCACTGGATGGGTCTCCAAGATTCACACCCACCTACAAAGCACCTCATTCTCACGTCACAGGTACGAACGTGAACACTCCTATTTCTGATTCTTGCTAATCTCCTTCCAGAAGTTCCATCAATGACAAATGCCTTGATGCAGAGCCAGAGCTTATTTATCCATAATGCAAACCTATCAAGGGTACCTCAGAGAATCCCTTTGTCTCTCTGGCTGCCTCCTAACCACTGGCAAATGCGCAAACTACTCATCACAGCACTGCTGCAAGATCCAAATCAGCCCAGTAATTCAACAAAGATCTGGCTGTTCAAGCATGTTTCAAAACAAATCCGACAACGCAAGCTAGGCTTGCTACAATTGTCCGCAGAATTCGCTGAGCACTGCTGATCCATCGAAGTGTTGTCCAGATGAGGTTGGAATGCAACTGCGCATGGCCAGTGCTGCACATTGTGGAGCGTGGTGGCATTCTCTGTTTCGTCTTGGCAACATGTGTGTCACCAGGAAGTACTTTTGAGAGGGTGCCGACTGCAGATTCGCACCAACGCACTCCATTGTTCATTTGTCCATGTTGTGATCTTGCAGTTAGTGTGCTGCAATTGGTGCTTGTGGCTAGAACCAAGACAAGCCAGTGCCAAACATAAGTCCATTATCACAAGAATTCTGTCGCGCCAGTCATTTCCACACTGATAACCTACCAACCTTCCTGAATTCCACATCCGGGTGAGCAGACTTGAGTTCTGAGAACGTCTTGTCCAGCAAGTCGTCAGGCAGGGCCACAAGAACGACGTTCACTTTCTGGCTTGCAAGCTTCCATGCCAGTGACTTTCCAATCCCTGAGGACACCACAGTTCAGCCCAAACGGATGTTTTGTGATGAAAAAAGCCAATCTTGACAAGAGCAACTCAATGGATTGGTGATACAGGCATGATCAGAAGGCACAGGTTGTAAAAAGCACTATTCTTTTTGGTGGAGCTAGCAAAGGCCACAAATGGATGATTGGGAATTACACTGGAGAGACCGGACAAAATCTGCCATCGTGCGATGTACATTCGTTTACTAATTGCTGACTGGCCCCCAAATAGCACAGCGAACTGATAAGCCAGGACAATACATACATGCCAGCAATGTTCCTGAAAACTCTTGGTACTCTTTTCAATATATCCAAGGTGCTGCCTGGAGAACATAGCTGTGGGTGGTAGTACAAAAGTTTGGGGGCATTGATGCGGCAATCCTCAGTGCCATTTCCACAAATATGTCCAACAATCCCGTTACCCAATATGAGGGCAACTAAAGTGGCATCAATCCAACAGAAAATCAATAACTAGCTTGGTCCTGCTCTGTACACATGCAGCAGCATTAATTGGGCGTTCTTGCTTACTGGTAGCAACATTTCTTGTCCATCTAGATCAGAGTTTGAGACAAAAACGTGCATTGCATCTGATTGCACAGCCTGAGCTGCTGCTATGCTGAAAAACGGGGAACACCTGCTGCAATGGAGCCTGGCTAGATGACGAGAGGGAACCCCACAAAGCTGCATTGCGAGCAGAGCCTTTTTCGCTCACAGTCCTACTGCAGCTGACATTGGGCGGCTTGTCCTTCACTGGATACTCGTTGCCCTCGAAGTTATCGGATCCCCGATTTCAACCTTCCACACGATCTGAATACACGTCCAACAACGGCCGTCGAGATGCATGCCGACTGCGAGCTGCCCCTTCGCTCCCGGACCCCAGCGGCAGATTCTGAACTGATTGCAGACCACGTGGCAGACGCGTGGGGGGCAGAAGTGGCACAGGCAGCAGCGATGGTAGGGGCAATATAGGCATGGTCTTCCGGCGTCCCATGAGCCGGGGCATGACTGCAATCAATCTCTCGTGTGCTCCCCGAAATACCCAAACAGCATGGGCATCCTAAACAACCGCATCCAGCTATGCTTGCAAATGCTGGCTGCTCAACCCAGCGTTGACTCGCCCCCTCGCGAAAATACAGATCCAAAACCCGAGACCCAGGGATGAACGCCAATGGCATCAAAGTCGAACCGATTCGAGGGCCCCAAACGGCGCTTCTCAATGCGACGCCATGCGAAGTTCGACATTGGGCTCCCGGAAGGCACTCTAAATGGACGGCGCTGTCTCAGCGATTAAATTACTGCGCTCTGCGGCGTCCCCACCTGAGCTGGATCCCGTGACCAGCCCCCAGGACGCGCCATACTTCTTCTTGAGGTCTTGCGGCTTGAAGTAGAACGAACACAGGGCCTGGAAGACGGCATAGGGGACGATGGACAGGCCCACGGTCAGGAGGAGTATCAGGGCCAACATCATGGGGACTTGCGCCGTGGGGCGGGGTGGAGCACGGCGACACACGACCGTGGCGCTTGCGTTGGGTTGCGCGGAGGCTGCTGGTGCCTCCCAAAATATGTTCAGGTTTTTCCTTATCGCCAGTGTTCGGTCGGGCAGAAAAGTCCTGCCATTTGTACCGTACAACTGCTTCCTGGTGAGGTAACACTATCTGTCCCCGAGGGCCGCTGAGTGACTGGTGAATGCATTCGCCCATGTGCCATCATATACGCAATGCATAGGATTTATATTTCATGCTGCCCCGCTGCCCCATGTTGGCCTATGCAGGCAATAGTGTACTGTGCAGATCCTGGCCAGTCATTGAAAGCAAAACGTGCACCAGTAGGGGGAGGCCAATAATGGGGAGGGGAGGGGAGGGGGGCGAGGGAGGGCCCTTGAAGGCAGCATGCTTCTGCTTGACGGGACACTCTCCTCACCAGGCATGCACACTGGCCAAGCGCATTCAGTCGTTCTCATGAAACCCTCCAGCCCACAATGCCCATCATCGTCAAACTCAAATTCTCGTCAGCAGCGGGAAACAAATTAAAGCACCAAATCCCAGTGCGCTGAACTTCGCATAATGCTCAGGTTAAACTCAGACTCCAACGGGTAGGCGGTTGGGTCCAAAACAAGGTAGCTGCAGGCTTTTAAGAGCCCCTGTGTGGCGAGGCGGCCTGCTGGCTGAGAATGTCTGCCAAGGCGGCCCCTTAAGGCGCAGGCGTTGGCTCTCTTGGGAACACGTGCCAATAGTCGCACAAATCCTTGGCCCGCGTTCAGACGCACATGTTGACTCGAGGGTCCCAGCAGCAAAGGAAGGGGGCAGCTGAAAGCGTGTTCTGGCTGCTGATACTGTCCAGTATGCCTGGGGCATCTAAAGTGCCCGCCCACGACTGAAAACGTTTTCTGGCACGATTTTCCTACGAAATCGCGCAGCGCGCCTATCAATCCATCGCAAATTTGCATCCAACCGTGCTCCAGCTCGCGACATCATGACACGATCACAAATCCATTATCCAACCGGCGACAACGCACAAATTGAATGCCCCTCTTATTGCACAATGCACAGTGCACTGGCAGCCAAATTACACAAATTTCTCAGCCTCAAATCCAACTCGTGAACACCAGGTGGTTCAAGAGGTCCTCTTGAAATCGCTGGAAATCGGCCACCTCAACATGAATATGCTTTTCATCACTTCTTATGCAAAATTCCATTTTAAGGCTGTTGCATATGCAAATGCTCAGCACGTCTTTTTGGGATTCAGAGTGGTACCAAAACAGGTGTTACTCCATGCCCGGTGCAATTTCTTCCGTACAATTCGACCACTAAGTTCAAATGTACAACCAGCAGAGAACACATCCATTACAAGGCCTGTTTTTACGAGAGCGTTGATAACGCAGTCATATCTACGATGCTCTGATCCAGCGCTCCAATATCACAGCCAGACCTCGAGTCGCTTGCACGACATTCCAAGCAAAACGTCATCATACCTTGCGATGCGAAGTTCGTGATCCTTTGACCGATGTTTTTGGGGAAGCATGTGACGAGGAAGCCTTTTTTTAAAGATCGAACGAGTGGCCAGAAAAGAAAAACTGTTCCTCATGACGCCCTGATAAAGACGGGCTTGTTCACTGAATTTTAGCATTTTTGTTCGTTTCTGTTTTCTCCAATGTCTTTCACCTTGATGCACTTTAGCCATGCCGTACAGCTGATGGCAGATAACACCACAGTGAGAGGGATTTGGGGGCTTTTGTGCCAAAAAACACAAAAATTGATACTTAACGGAGCCACCTTTAGGCTTGCTAACAGTGTTCAAGCACAGATACCACGCTTGTTATCTGTTCGTACGAACAGAAAGGAACCATGCGTTTACGAACAGAGCATTAACCGGTGCCTAGTTGCGGGCCATTCTGGTGGAGGTCCGGGGCAAACCTGGGCTGACATCTTCCTTACCTTCCGAACTCGTGCACAAAACAGGACAGTTAAAGAAAATACTGATGAGCAAAGCCCCCCAAAAAAGGTATAAGCCATCAAAAGCAACAAAAGCTTAAAATTGCCAACTCCACCCAAAAGTATATCTATTGTGAAGCATACTCTGCTGTTCAATGACGTTGGAGACTCTGAGGGTTAGTAAACAAACAGTCTGGCAATCGGGATGGAGTTGCAGCAACGTTGTTGGGCCTGGCTGCAACGAGTTTGTTGACGCGCTGCCTGTCGATGTTGCTGCTGTCGCTGCACATCATTGCTCCTCGGCATTTTTTGTTCCTAATGCCATTGATGCTGACGGGGCATGAATGCTGACATCCCATCAATCGCCATGTTCATCAAAATTACAGCTATTGTTGCATATAAGACGTTGGTAGCAACACAAGCAGGCAGCGCATCAACGGACTCGTAGCAGCAAGGCCCGTCAACGTTGCCACAACTCCATCCCGATTTCTGGATGGATGCGCGTGCATGCCCCAACACGTGTGGAGATTAGCATTCTCCTGTGCCTTTCCAGCTGCCTTATTGAAATAGCACTCAGTGCCATTGAATCGGTGCCAGTGAAGGCCGGCGAACAGTCGGGCACATGCCCGTCACAGGAAGGCCCCACTCTCGTTACGGAGAAGTGCCCCACAGCTGTGTAACTACTGGCTCCTGCACCCAAAAGGCGGACATGGCCGCGACGAGCGCCCCTTGTCTCTGGGGCAGCAGGTGCCTTTTCTGCCAGCCCGTCATCACCCTTCACACCTTCTCGGCATGAGCCGCGCTTCCCGTACGGCCGCGCCAATTGCATGTGCCCGACGACGAGCGGACTCCCCGCACATGCGGACTGCCACGGCACTTCCACGAGAACTTCGCACACACCAGGCGCCCCATTTTCGGCTCCGCCAGCCGGAATCTCTGTGGCGTTTGTGGGTTTCTTGGGAGGGAAACCACCCTCGCAGCAGCGACAAAGAAGGCTGGGGCGGCCCTTGGGCACACGTAACCGTTATTGGGAGCCGGGCAACCAGGTCGACCCAACAACGTGTCTGGAGGGAGTGTGGGTTTGCGGCCTTGCGGGCGCCCACATCAGCATCGTGACTCGCTGTGAAAGCTCGCCCTTTGCGTACTAAAGGGGGAGGGAGGGGCACTTTGCACCCAAACTCCCCGTGCCTTTGCCTCCCCAGCAAGAGAGACTGCAGGGCCCGACGGCTGCGAAGCGCTGAGCTACCGGGGGCGGGCGCCCCAAGGCAGCCTCCAAGGGCCGCCCTGCGCGGATTGACAAGGCCCCGACGGTGGGAACTCGGAGAGTTGCGATCCGCGGCAACCAGCTTCTCGCTGAATCGGAGCGCAGAAAAAAGGTGCCCGATTGTGGGCAGCCTGTGCGCTGCTCCTGATCGCGGTGGCACGCTTGCCCCCGACGCGTCCGGGGTTCAGTCGGTTGCGCTACAGACTCTGCGCAGCCGAGACCAAAAGTTGGATCTTTGTTCCGTCAGTTTGTGTTCCCTGCGTGCTGCCTTTTGGCCCGGAATCACCTTCGCAACTGCCTTCCAGGGCCACCGGAGAGACGCCGTGGACAACCCTTGGCGGGCTACGGCAAGGAACACGGAGAGCGTCGATCGCTTTCCTCCCGGCGCCTTTGAACCCATGGCAGTGCCGAGGAACCGGTCACGACGGCCGCATAGCCCCAGCCAGCGCCGCGTCCGGGGAAACGGTGAGTCGAACCCGGGTCCGGCGATTTCGTTCCCGCCTGCTGTCACCCGAATTGTCCTGGCACCCCACCGGGGTGGCTCGGCGCGGGGCAAACAGTGTGCGTTCCCTGCAGCGCTCGGGTGGCAGCCGATCGGAGGCAGACCAGGTAAGTGCGAGAAAAAGAGCTGCTAGGGCCCTACAGCTAGGCAGAAAACTGCAGCGTGCGGGGCCACCAGTTGGTAGGTGTGCAGGGAGTGGCCGGGCGTCGGAGGAGCTGGCTCAGTCCGTCAGAATTTGCTGTGGCGAACCGCCACACGGTGAGTGGGACGCACGGCCTCGCCGTTGCCGCCTCCCCGCCCGACCCTGTTCTCCGCGGCACACCCCCTGATCGATCGCCCGTTGTTTTCTCGCCGGTGGCTTTCCCTTTCCCTTTCCTCGCGTTGACATCCGCCGCGCCGGGTTCAGCGGGCCTGTGCGGCAGGATCTCTCCAGCTTCCCTTGTCCACCCGTCCGCGGCCTGAGCACCCCTCGGTCCGTCCCGCGTCGCCGCAGCGGCCGTTTTGCCGTTTTGCCAAAGCGGCGGTGCGCCATTGGTGGCGGAAGGGCGCGCCCGGCCAGGGCACTCCACCGCGCTCATAGGTGTTTGTGACTGAAGGGTTGACAACTTTGGCGTGACGTCAAGTGACGTTGCCCTCGCCCTGAGGCCCGCAGCGCTGCCAGCCCCCGGCGCTTGCTGGCTGTCTCCTGGAGCGCCCCAGCCGGCCTTTTATTCACTGGCCGGGTATTGATGCCTTTCGGCGGGCTTTTTCGGTGGTTGTTGCTGTGTTGTCGTGGTCGATGGACAACAACCGTCGCGTGAGGACGACCACGCATGCCATGCAGTGTGATGTTGATTTCTGCGCTTGAACATGTTTGTGCTGGTGGGGATCACTGCTGCTTCAAGAGCGGTCCATGCTTGCACGGTGTTTTGTGTTCCAGTTCCGGCACCTGTCGCACAGGCCAGCGGGTGGAGAATCATCGGAACTTTGCGCCAGCCCGAGCATTTTGCTGTCCGATGCAACGTGGGCGTTTCTGCTGTGGACATGTGTGTGATGTTGTTCATTGCAAAGTGACGAACGCTTTCGCTTTATCCTCTGTACGTTTACTTGACCCAGATGTGATGTCTGGGAGCAATGCGAACCGATGGCGTGTTCTACCTTTGATGCAGATGTGCACAGCATGCAACAGCATGCATTTCATGATGTAGCCTGTCTTGTGTGGGTTTCAGGGCATTGTTGGACACTTTGCGTCCAACCTCCCTGTGTGGAAAGGTAGTGCGATGCGGGTCTGGGGTCGAAAAGCAGCGTAAGCTGGTAGCCCAGTTTGCAGTGACTCGTTGTACACCTCCATATGGAGATGGCCTTCGCCTATTGTGCACCTTGCCACTTGGGGGTGTTGACTGTTTGTTTGTATATGATGCTATGCCAGAATGCTCAGTTCATCCCGACGTCGTTTTAGCCCGCTGCCACGCATACACCTTTCCTCAGGCAGTAAATACAGGCTATGGAAAGGCTACTGCATGTTGTTCCCTGATGTTCCCCCAGTGCTGCCACTTGTTCCTTGAATGCATAAGTAATATGCAGTGTTAGGGTGCTTCTGGTGGTGACATAGTCCCCATGGACATCGAACACGGACTTGTTATTCTGTGGTGGCAATATTGACTTATTGTGCGAGTCAAGTCATGAGTCTCCCACACAGATTGTTCAATTTTTGTATTTCTTGGGTCACAACACGTCATTCTCAAAAGAGTTGTTTATGCAGTCTGTCTGGGCTCTTGCATCACCTGTGTGTTTACATCATTGTTGAATACTCAACGATCCCTTTTTGTGTGTTTTTGTGCCGATTGGTGGCCCTTGCATGCCAGGTTTTGTTTCTGGTTGAGGTGGGGACCTATTGTTGTCCCTGACATGGTCAAGCATTGGTGCTTCGTGCAAGTGTGCTGCTGAGTGACAACCATTGACTTGCCCACTTTCATGTCTTCTTTGTGCCCTGCTCCTCCGGCAAAAATTTGAGCATCAATACTGGTTGTGTGCTCGCATTTACGACCATAGATTGTCCGTATGATATGCAGGAATTACTGAGCCTTCTTCTGCTGCATTGAATTTGCGCCGCTTGTGGGAATTGCACGAAAATGAGAGAAATCAGGTAAATCCCTCGTGATATAGCCTCCACCCTGCATGCCATGGCAGTTCTCTATTCTGCAATTCTGCAGAAATCACCTGTGGTCACAGGGGGCAAATCCTGCCACATAGTATGGCATGCACCTTCACCTTCTGTCAACCCACCAATGCTTCAGGTAGTTGTTGCAACAAAACTACCTGTAGTTTCCTATGCAGTTGCATGAGAAACCGCTGTGGAGCTGATGTCATTCTGCTTGAAGCCCTTACATTCTCTGAATGCATTCAGTCGATCAATCGAGATTCCATTCGTATGATGCACCCCAAAATGCTCGTATCATGTTGCTCAAAACATCTGAACACCAAAGTCGAGAACCCCACAAGTACAACAGCTGTCTACTCATGCTGCTGTGTGCCTGGAGCATCTGCCCCATGTTCCAGACATCTCAGGGGTTCGCATCTGCTGCAGGAGCCACAAATGCACATCCGGAATGTTCGTCCCCGGACCAGCAGCATATCAGCACGTCCAACAGAGTCAGGTGTTCAGGCGCTGGAGGCTCCTGCACCACGCTGGAACTCGTACCTCCAGGAGGGCGCAACCTGGGCACTGGAAGACGACAACTACATCCATGTTTTGGCTCGTGGACCAGGGCTACATGGCTACGATGCCTTGCACTACCTTGGTTCCGTAGAACTGCACCCGACTGAGCCTGATCATGTTCCAAGCATGCTTGGGAGTGCGAATTGTGCTGAAACTGACGCATCGTCGTCAGGTGGTGCGCCTAGCAGCATTCCCGGTGGCAGCGACACTCTCTGCATGGGTGTCCCCCATTCTGAGCAGACATGCTTTCCGGCAGTGCCAGAGGGTGAGCTACCTGGGGTTCCTGAGTCAGGATGCTCAGGCTCAGCGATGTTCTGGGGGCAAAGTCATGGGGCAAGCCACAACACTGATGTAGCTGAAGATTCTGGCATGGGCGGCCATGAATTGCGCCAGGAAAATGAAGCTGCAGGCACAAGCAGTGCCATGTTGCTGTTGTCCAGTGCATCTTCGACGCCCATTTTCCACCCTGGAAGCCCAATTCAGGATCACCACACCACAGCTGCCGTCTTGAACTCAGGGCAGTGCATTGCTGCCTTGGGACAGGCTTTGGGCCTGAGCTTTGGAGTTGCAGTGCCCGACAGAGGTGAGCACGATGTGAGGTGCATTTCGGAATTGCCAGATCAGACACCGTACTGAAGGTTTCTTGTTTGCTTCTTTGTCCTGCAAAGTGTGCTGATGACTCCCAGCAGTGTCAGGTCCCAACTTATTGATCGATAACTTGCACTGAGAAGACCCGACATAAGTGGGCCCCTGAAACGAACATGGAACGACGCCCAGCCAGACCTGCCAGCAAGAGTGAGAGTGGCTGATACTCGGCCCACAGGTGCCATTGACTTAGAAGAAGACCGTTGGACAAACCTCATCGAGGATGAGCTCAATGCCGAGCTGCACCCACGGAGGCCATGCCACGTCTGCAGACAGCGACCTTCCAACACGCTCATCACTAGCTGCATGCACTGCGTCCTGTGCGTGGAGTGTGCTGTGAGCCAAGCCAACCTGGATCGCCCGATGCCAGACATTCTTCCCTGTCATCTGTATGATGGCGGTGGGCGCGTGTGGATCGCCTGCCCATCCTGCCAAGAGCCTGGAGTGGCGCAGAGCCTCTGGCCCGTCCGAGACTGGGCATGTCCTTCGCACAATGGTGCGGAACGCCCATCCAGGAAGACACGCAGTTCAGAATTGATGTGGTTTCTCAGAGGGGAATGAAATGCTGGTTTTTCACCAACTGGACGATGTTGGTCCTGAGCTTGTCAGCATGTGCCCTTGCATTACCAGTATGGTGTAGGCGGATGTTCTTTTTTTTTAATTCCAATGTAATACATCAAAAGATAAAAAGAGGATCTCCCCCACAAAACGTAAAGTATGCAAAGATGGATGTAGTAGACGGATGTTCAACTTGCGGATGCCATGCTTGACGGGTGCATTTGCTCCCACAGGGCTTTGCTGTGTGTGCAAGGAGCACGAGGCCGACGTGATGCTGACATGCTGCATGCGCGTTGCCTACTGCACGTCCTGCGCACAGCGCCTCAGCAGCACACCATGTGAGCCTTCGGATTTTGGAAGTGAAGACACTGCGCCGATCATCTGGTGCCCTGGTTGCACGCTGTTCCCGTGGTTCGTGATCAGGGCTCATGCTCGCCAGGTGCGGTGGGAATAACCTCATGGTTGGGCAAGAGGACTTGGTCTTCCATTGCTTCTTTGGAAGCTTCTAGCCCCGCGTGATCAGGGCTCATGCTCGCCAGGTGCGGTGGGAATAACCTCATGGTTGGGCAAGAGGACTTGGTCTTCCATTGCTTCTTTGGAAGCTTCTAGCCCCGCTGCAATTTTCCTTTTCAATTAGCTTCTAACTGTGCCATACTGAGTTGCGAGGGTTGACCTGCCTGGTGTATTTACTCCTGAACGGCATTTTTCTGGGACAATTAGGCTCCTGTTTGCATCCAGTGACTTCGAACTGGAGACGAATTTGTTTTCAGAGTGGCAGCTTGTCCGCTTGCTTTGGTATCAATTGCTTTGGAGGCACCACTGCAAAGGGGCTGGCAATAGAAGGGGGTCTGTGGCGGCGGGGCTTATGTGAGAGGGAAAATGTGAGGGATTGAGGAACTGGGATTGCATAGATGGGCACATAGATGGCTTGCTTGGCATCTATCTGGGATAATAAATGAAGGTATGTGCAATGTGATGGTGGGCGTGGGAGTGGAGAGGGCTTGTGTTTTTTTCTTCTGTGAACGTTGTATTTTAGACAGCAAACACTGAAGGGCATGTTTCCTTAACCGCTGGAATTGGACTGCTGTTTGTCACAGAACACAAGTGTAATATATTCTCAGCGAATGGTGTGGTAAGGCTGCCTTGGGGAAGGCATGGATTGCTGGAGCACACGGGCATAAGTGTGTTGGGTGAGGGGGGTTTCGACATATTTCGCTTGAATTTGTGACCTCACGGAGATCAGCTCCCCTTGTTGACAAGTTCTTGTCTTTATTTCAAGATTGCAGCACTTCTCTATCTTGTTGAAGCTAGTACGATTGAGTGTTATCGTCCCAACCCAAACAAACCCCATCCCAAACCCAAACTCACCCAAACCAGCCAAACCACCCACCCACCAGCCAAGAGAAGGTCAATGTGCAGATGCAGGTCATCTGGCCCCTATAATGTCCATTATCTAGAACCCCACCTCCGAAGTGAGCTCGAAAGCAGACACTCTGACCGGTAGCCTGCGGAGCCGGTACATCTCGAGCGGTGCCACCGGGAATGGCACCTGACCGGAGTCATCCGCCATCGTTGGAACAACGCCCACCTCCACGCGCCCAAAGAACGAAGAATTGAAGTGCAGAAGCACCTAGGCATCACCAGCCCATTTTCGTTTCGCTCACAAAACATCACCAATAAATCTGAACTCTTCTATTGCAAGACTGGAACTTGGAGTCTCTGCATCGTTCACCAATAGGGCTTGGGATCCGGTTGCGATTACACAATTGGATCGTATCTTCCGATGCAGAGGGTCACTTTGTGCCGCATGTTCCCATGTGTGTTTGCGCATGCGCACATCCAGATGCAACAAACATTTGGATCTTCTTCTCGAGGCGGTATCGACAATGAATTAAACTGTCCGCGACCAATGTGAAAAGTAATCGCAGAAGTATCGCTGAGACAAAATTCGATGATTTTTATCATTGCTCATTGTATGATGAAAGTTTGCGTATTGATGCAATACGAAACGCGCAGGGAGCATCAGAAATCTAAGAGAGAACACATAGCCTGATTGTCTGAACTAAACCAATGTATCGGGAGGTTACCCAATGCGCTGTCCCCCGCCGATCCTACCACCCATTTGCATTCGACAGGGACCGCGGACTTTTGGGTAGATGCATAACAGCAAGCACCCTGGTTTTCAGTACGTGGGGCCAGTGAAACCTGATAAAAAGCCTCTGAAGTCGCCTCTTTGTCAGCGGAGGGTAGAATCTTCACTTCTGCAGCTGAAGGCGGTAAGACAAAGACCATGTCTTCCGTAGGTCTCGAAACGGGCTCCGAGAATGCCAGCACAACGATGGTTGATTGGGCGGATGTCAGTATGCCCCAAGGTGAAGCCACAGCGGGCATCCCGGAGTACAACTCCCCTATTGGCCTGGCGATGCAACCGTGAACAATTTGCCCCGTTGTCCTCTACCATTCAGCCTCGTGGGTTTGCAGAAGGGGGAGAACTTGGAATTCTATTTAGGTTCAACTGTACTTCGATGAAGTACCTCGTTGAGATACACGTCAATGTATTTTAAAGTTCTCGTACGTCCTGAGTAACAATTCGCTAATTTCCGATGTGAACGGCAAGCACTGCACCGGTGAGAATTTGTGTGAAATATCATTCTGTTGAGCTCATTGCTTAACATTCCCACCAGTCATACACGCAAAGCCGCATCCAGTATATGCATCGCGTAATATTCCAAGTGTTTGCTGTTTTGATGCCATCCGTTTTCTCCTTTGAACTAGCTTTGTGTCGTATTTTTGATGTCAATGGGTGCTTACAGCAGTCACGAGGGCGGGCTTTGTATGTTTTGCCGATGTGGATGATCCAGTGAGCCAGGCTTGGTTTTTACGCCGTAAAAACTGAGCGGATTTACGTGTTTACGCGTGAACACGCTAAATACAACGTAAATGGAGCCCCGTGTACATAAGGACAGTACATACAGACTGGGGGTTCCGGGGAGTGGGAGCCAGACGCGCTGGAATGGGTAGAAAATGAAATTTTGTTTCATGCCGTTATCGTCCTTGCCGTTGGCGAGGTGGGCAATGTGTTGCGGGCGCTGGAGATGGCCGAGGACTCATCACTGTACGCAAATTTCATCGTGTAACCTGGCTGCCCCAACCGGCCGCAAAAACGTAAAAATAGCCGCAAAAATAGCTCCTTTCGCAAATCTGCGTTTTGCCGCGTGAAAACGCAAACGCGAAAATGTAAACGTAAACGCAAAAACCAAGCATGCAGTGAGCAGTGCATTTACGGCCATCCGCAGTCCATCCACCACCCCCCGAGTGAAAGCATTGATGAGCCAAGATCTGACACGCACCACCCTCGTATGTCCCCAAAATCATTTTCACCTGTGATCGAATGTGAACGACGCGGATGCCGCGGGGAACCTGTTTCCCATCGCGCTGGCAGCACCCCGGGCACCGCCTCTGGTGGACAATGTGATGATCGTCTCGCGGTGGCTCCACGGATCGAGCTGAAAGATGCTGCCGCTCAGCGCAAATCTCCTGCAGCCATCAATCGAGCTGATCTTGTCTATTCTCCCGCGTTTCATTTCAAAGTTGAGGAGCTGCACGCCAGGCACCGGCTGATTGAACTCGACGACTGCGGCGAATTCGCCAGCTCGATGCAGCTCCTCGCTGAGCTTAGATGGCTGCAAATCCGCGTAGTCCGGAAATCTGAAGGCAGAAACAGATGCTGCGAGGCTCGAGCAGTGGCGATTGTGGAATTTGCATGGACATTTTGATAGAGTGTTACCATTAAAAATGATGTGAAATCTTCCCCAGCAGCGGGTGTGCGTATATACGCACACTGCATATACGCAGGGAGACAACATGTTGATGTGATGGCAGAGAACTGCTCTGATTTGATCCGCAGTCGACCGACAACACAGATCTCATGACTGAATCCCTTCCCCACATGAATCATAGACATGCTCTGTCATCATCAATGCGAATCTCCGAAGTGCGCCATAATGGGTATTCGCTGTTTAAATGTAATGGAAGCTTGCGGCTGCTATATTATCAAATCCGCAGAGAAAACGTGACGCAGATTTCCATCGAAATGTGAGGGGCCACCCTATATGCCTGAGGGACTCAATCATTTTTATTACAATGATGAGCCAACAGCACAGATCGAATTGGCACCTATCATTGGACACAAGAGCAACGCCAAGCAGCTCACAGTTTAAAATAATTCCCTCAACTCAAGGGGGTGAATTTACCCCGTCCGCGGATCTGGTGGCGCCGATGATCCCTTTACATTCGTGAACTTGATATCAGGAGGGGCCGCAACTCCGGACCAGCTCCCTCTGTCGCAGTTGAGCACATCGAGATCGGTAGGCACGATGAGGCGGGGATTCTCGCGGTCATTGCTTTCAAGATAAATGTACAGGGAGTAACGCCCCACAGGGAGGTCCTCGGCACTGTAATGTAAGTTGAAGGGCACCTCAGACTCCGGCGGAATCTTCAGGGCCGATGTGCTGGTGTCCAGAAACAACTGTTGGCTGGAGAACTGTGTAGTTCTGTCTGGGAATACATATCCGCCATCTGATCCTTGCGCATGGTCGATGGTCTACAAGGAAGGGTAAGCTACAGCAGCTCGGTAAATGCTCTCCAAAAACAACATCAATGTAAAAGGCACATCACAACTGACGTTCCAAAATTAGCATTAGAAAACCCCAGAGAAAAAATAGTGGAATACAATCGCAGCCGCCTCCGACGATAAAACGAACAATATTCCCAATTAATGGCCTCACCATTTCACACGTGAATGCGATAGGGAGCAAAAGCCGTCTATCTACAGGCAATGCGCACACAGAACCTATGATTGAATTGCAGTGTTGATGATAGCAGCCAAAATATCCCTTCTAAAGGTACAGTGTGCCCAACTGTTGTCCTCCAACTCACGCGATTGCAACACCCGGTCCCTCGTGTGTCTGCCTTCAAACTTACCGCATCGCCGCTTGGCCCCTCCTGGCTCGTGATGCCCACCACACTGGAATCGGCTCCAGGTATTTCGAAACTTCTCCACACGGACTTGCAGCCAGCCAGTCTGCAGTCGGCTCCCAGATAGACTTGAAGGGGCGTGTCCCCCAGTGTGTGGGGGACGGAGATGCTGCCGCAATTAGAGACGTGGAAATATGAGGTTGTCAACCTGGAGGAAGCGTTGAAGATGGTCGCGAGGTGTGGAAGAGGAAAGATCTATGCTGCGGTGGACCGTACGGTGGCCCTGCGGACCCCATGAGTATCATTTTTGCCAGTCGGATATGGCATACTTCTTCTCATATGTTAGATTGTTTCCGTCATTGTGTGAGTTTCAAGATTCAGAATGAAATTTCATTTCAATGAATGATCCAGCGCTGTCATTTTTGTGCATGAGTTCATGTCAAAGTCACAAAAGAATGAACCCAAAGCAGTTGTGTACGCTGGTTGCTGCCTGCGGACTTCGCAAAGTCTATCAAGGCTATCGAGCGCTCGCATTATCTCCGCAAGTCTGTCGCGGCCATAATAACTCATGGATAGT